AAAAAAAAAAAAAAAAAAAAAAAAAAAAAAAAAAAAAGCAGCATGTGAAATTCCAGATTAAAAATAGAACAACTATAAGACAAAGAGAATGAATAGATATATGCTTTTAGCCCAGTCCTTGGATATTTGGAGCCTGGAGAAGCTGTCTCTTTGTCCACTGTTCAAAAGGCATCACCTCTGCAAATTACTCTTTTGTGTAGGACTTTTGGTTTCATGACTTTCCTCCATCACTCTTACATTAAATATAGTAGAGGAAAGATATTTTAAGTTTAAAGTAAGTGTAATTTCTATTCCAACTATTTGAAATATTTTTTCCTTATGACTTTATATTACACTATTTCAAATATAACTATTAGGGTTAATAACATAAATTGTTTAAAAAAATACTGAGATTTTTTTAAAAAAAAAATTTAGTCACATAAGTTCTAAATATGTTAAATAAAACATTAAACAAAAAAAGGGTAATCACTTGATAGAATAATCAATGGGATAATGACTTGAAAGAGTAAAAACTTTTAATTTTATTTATATTTAATTATTGAAATTTTTTCGTACTTGATTAATTTATAAATTATTTGAAATTGTTTATATTTACCTATATGATCAATTGTAACAAATCATAAGAGTAAAATATAAACAATTTCAAATAACGAATGGGGAAATGAAGCACGAAAACAACTCAATGAGTAAACGTGAACACAATTGAAAGTTTGTTACAATTTCAAGTCATTATCCATTATTTTTATTATCACAATTAATAAAATTATTTTGGGAGAATTTCGTATATGTCATTCCTAAACAGCTAAATATCGTATTTGTCCGGCCTAAACTCCAAATATCGTATTTGTCAATCCTAATGTTTTTTAATATCATATATACCCAAATCTATTTTTTTGGTAATTGTTATTGATTTATAATGGTTTTTCATAATATTAAATCATTATAATTAAAATACAATTTGAATGGACAGTATTGCCCTTGCTTGCTAACGCCTAACATATCACATTTTCTCCCCATATCACGATCGAGCCTTCCCTTCCTAATACTTCCGATCGTTGCCTACAATCTCTGCTTCCAATCAATCTGATCGGTGTTTCCCATGTTGACCGCGCACACACACACATCAGGTAAATAATATGCGATTGCATTCCCTTTCCTGAATTTCGATTATGTTGTTGTTTGATTTGTTCAACAAGAACTCAAAAGGACTATCATGTTCTAAAGCTGTTGTAGTTCCAATCGTAGCTTTATTCCCCTGTTATTGCATCACGTTCACGCATCATATTCTAAACCTGTTGACTAAAATAATAGCATTAGATCTTTGGAAGCAAGAAATAAACCCATGTGAAATACAGTTGACTGTTATCTCATCAGTTGTATCACATGAATATGAACAAAAGAGTTGCAAGTCAATTCTTAGACTTTATGCAACTAGTGTGTCAATGTTATGCAATGTTGATGTCTGAAGTCGTGTTGCTATACCTTTATATCTTTTTTTCTTATCGCCGACTTAAAATTATATTTTAGAGGCGATACAAACCAATGTCGGAAGATCACTCTCAAATAGAAGATATTACCCTGCATGACACATCCAAACCAACATGGGAGAGCAGGGCTACGTCTCCAATAATCGAGTATGTTTATGCGAATATCTTAATTTTAATTTAATTAAACATTTACTAAATTGTATGATTGTTTCTCTAATTATTTTCAATTTCAGGCGTATACCAACATCCACGTTCAAGTTAAAATTGAAATATGGGGGTTACTTTCGGCTAACGAAGAATAGTTGTAGGCAAATATATTGTTTTGGCTCTCAAAAATGTATCCACATAGACACATTTTTATATAAGTTAAGTCAACTACATGAAGAAGTGGTATAGCGTTATTCATCAAAGAACAACCCAAAAATTTATATTCTTTATGTTGACAAGTATGCACCAGAAAAATCCCTTATTGAGCTTGATTCTGATGAAAAGTTCATGGCTATGCTCGACATGTATGGAAGCGAGAAACAAGTAACCATTTATGTGACAACATATAATAACCTCGGCTCCAATAACCACACTAACAATTTGTGCGCCAACAGAGATGAACCACACGATGAGTATGATGCAGACCTTTGTCCTAGTGAAGAAAGCTATCACAGTCATCTCAGTTCCGATAATGAAGACGATCTAATGAATGATGATGATGAAGTTTACTCATTTAGTAAGAATAGTATAAGCATGGAAGTCGACTCAAAATTTAAAAATGTGGTTGATTGTAGGAGAGCTTTGAACCACTTTGCAGTGACAAATGAGTTTAACTATTACATTAAAAAAAGTGACCCGACACGATTCACAGCAAGGTGTGAAAACCTAGAGTACGAGTGGAGAATTCATGCGTCTATTTCACAAGATGAAGTTACCTTTGAAATAAGCGTATATATTAAGTTATATTTAACATGCTTCATATTAAAAATATATTTATGTTTATTTTATTCTTTTTTTAGGTTAAGAAAATGGTAAAAGTACATACTTGCACTCGCAACAACAAGGGTGGCAATAAGCGTGCCACTCAAGGATGGTTGTCACTTAAAAGGAAAGTCCAATAGTGTACTAGACGCAACAACTGGTATTGATGGTAACAATTCTATCTTTCCAATAGCATATTGTGTGCTTGAATAAAAAAACACACAATCATGGACATGGTTTCTTGATTCACTCAAAAAAGCAATTGGAACGCCAAATGGTCTTGTTATCTCATCAAACATGCAAAAAGGGTTAGAAGTAGCCATGATGAATGTTTACCGTAATGTTGAGCATATAGAATGTATAAGGCACTTATATAGCAACTTCAAAAAACACTTTCGTGGCGACTTCTATAACACCAAACTATGGGCTGCTGCCAAAAGCTACCGTTCTACCAAGCGTGACCGATTATTGAAGGAAAGTGATAAAAATGAAGATGCCATTGCATATCTAAATACCAAACACAAAAAATATGGAGTAGAAGCAAGTTTGGTACTACTTCCAAGTGTGATTACATCACTAATAATATTTCAGAAACATTTAATTCTTGGATTGGTAAATTGCGCTATAAACCCATGCTTGATCTCCTTGACGCAATTAGGGAAAATATTATTGTTAGGGTCGAATTATATTGTAATATGTCGAAGTCTGTTTTACCCTTCGTATGTTTTGTTAAGTTTATTTACTGAGGTGTATTTCGTACGAAGCTTAATTGTCAATGCCTTAGTATTTTTTGTATGCTTTCACTGTTCCTATAAATATGGAACTTTACTAGAATTAGATAAGAGTCCTTTACAGAACCTGTCTATTTTCTCTGTAAAAGTTGAAAGCATAAATGAGCAGAAACCAGATCTTATTTACATCGTTTGTTCAATCTGCATTCGTTTAACTCTGATTTTGATTAATACTTGATTCCACGATTCTTCAATTGGTATCAGAGTAGGAATCATGATCTGAGATCTAATTTTCATTCTGTTTCAAAAGGTTTTTGAATTAAAATTCTGATTCAAAAATTTCTGCATCTTTTGACGTGAAAAAGCTTTCTAGATCTTGAGTTGTGATTCGATTCTGCAACAGATTTGTTGAATCGAGTATTCTACTTTGTTTTTCTGTTCATTTCAGCAATTTGCTCTCAAATTCTCTTTAATTTCTCATAAACTCTCAAAAATATTCTTCCGTACATTAATGGCGAACTTCAATCTCAACTCGATGACTTCATACTCTCATCTGCTAGGATCTTCAACTAAGATTCCTATGCTCATTCCTGAATACTATGATCAGTGGTCTGATCATATGCAGGATTACTTGAAAGGAATCGATGAAGAGCTTTGGACTTGCATCTCAGGGAATGTTACTCTTCCAAGGAACCTTCAATCAATTGGATCTTCATCCAGTACTACGAGTGTGGAAAATCAAAATGATCGTATGAAGAAACTTGAAAAACGATGCATAAGGGAGTTGCGTGGTGCAGTGCCTCCGGTGGTGTATAACTATGTCAGAAGTTGTACAACTGCAAAGGAAATATGGAATAATCTCAAAGAA